GACCAGCATTGGCGCGAGGTCGACTGCTGCCTTGCCTACCTCGCCGACATCCGCGACACCGCCCTGGAGTTCAGCGGTGGACCAGAATCGTTGGAGCTGGTCGACTACGTCGATGCCGACGACGCGGGCGACAAGCAGAACCGGACGAGCACGCGTGTTTGTCTACGGAGGGGCCGCCGTCTCCTGGTCGAGCTCGAACATCAAGTGCGCAACATTGTCATCGACCGAGTCAGAGTATGTGGCGGCCACGGATGCAGGGAAGGAGGGACGCCGACTTTGTTTCCTTCTTGCGAAATTCAAGCTGCTCGACGCCAGGAAGCCGGCCAGTTGTGTGATGCAACCATATGCATTCACGTCTGTCTGCCTCCCATAATGTGTTTGTGCGTTGCATGCGTTGTGTGAGCGCGTGCAAGAAATTTGTGTCTTGTGTGGTTTAGATTTTCTGTGTGTGTGTGTGTGTGTGTGTGTGTGTGTGTGTGTGTGTGTGTGTGTGTGTGTGTGTGTGTGTGTGTGTGTGTGTGTGTGTGTGTGTGTGTGTGTGTGTGTAAGTCATTTGGCTTGAGCAGATATCTGAAGTGATTCCTCTACTTAAGAGCTTTCCGACGAACCAAGAATCGTCGCGATCGGAGCACAACCAAGAAAGTTACGAACATTGGAGTTCGTATGCTTATATATTTTGGTTGCAGCTACTTTGGGAAGTTGTGGCATTGACTCAATATGGGGTACAGACTTGTGGGGGTTGGGAAATTCGAACCCATCACTGGAGATGCTGCCAAGAGGTTGGGTGAAGCCAAACCAGGTTGGTAAGAGTGGCCAAGTTGTGGTGAGGTGGATGGCATGGGTTGGAAAGTGACAAAGGTAAAAGTTTGTTGCCTATGGGGAAGGGAATTGTGTGGCATGGGGTTTCCTTGGTTGGGGACTCTCTCTTGGGACCTTCCCTCTCGTCCTCCTCTTCCCCTCCTACCAGGTTTAGTGCTTCTCTAATGTTCTTTTGTGGGACTTGTGAGTTAATTGTGATTGAGTAAAATTTCTGTGGCAGCGTACCCCCTAGTGCGCCGAAAAGTATAACTCGAGATATGCTTCATATTTTGATACAACTCAAACTGGGAAATGGAGCCACGGTCTAGAGCTACAATATATTCGAATTTTGTGGGATTCTAACTGTGTACCTTTTGTCGACAACGTTTCTTGTGAAGTCGACGTTTCTGTCCAGAAATTGAGACCAACGATTTTGAGAAATTTGGGCACCTAATCTTCATAGACTCCGTCCTTAGTCTCTAACAAGTGGTATCAGAGCGGGTTAAGGACTTTGTGGAGAGTCTACTAAAGTGTGAAGACCCTCCTAGACCCACCATGGCCTGTGGGCGTGCCTAAGTGGAGTTCTAGAGGTTGCACGTGACTTCCGCTAAGGGGAAACTCTGCCAAAATTTCGTTGGCGCCGACACTTGTGAAGATTGTGTGGATCTACATTGTGACCAGCAAAGGGGGGGAGGTGAAACCTCTGATTGGGAGCAGAGGAGATGAGCCAAGGGAGTGGAGAAAGAGCTGAGAAGAAGATTGAGCCGCCACCATCCAAGATTGAGGCATTGGATGGCTCCAACTATGAAGAATGGAGTGGGCGGATGAGGAGCGCCTTCAAGCGCTACAAGCTGCTGAAATTGGCTATGGAAGAGGAGAAGATGCCCGAGGAAGGAGATGCCTGCGATCGGTGGATTGAGCGGAGCGCGGTGCTGTACGCCTTGATTCTACAGTCGGTCAACAACGACATGTTCCAGCACATCAAGGATTTGGTGGAGCTCGATGACTCGGGACCGAAGGCGTGGAAGCTGCTACGCGACGTGGTTCAACCCAACACGCTGCCGATGATGATCGTATTGGAGAAGGAGCTGGCTGCCCTCTCCATGCGGCCGGGAGATGATGTGAAGCCGGCCCTTGACAAGATCAAGGACACCTATGCGAGGGTGGCAGCGGCGGGCAGCAAGGTGTCGGAAATGCAGCAGTGCACCAAAATCATCTCGGTGCTCGACAACTCGTGGGACAACCTCATCCCCACCCTCAACGCTCAGCAGGACAAATGGACGCCTGAGTGGCTACGGCAGCAGATTCTGCAGGAGGACTTCCGCAGGCGCCACACGGGAGGTGGTGCTGCCAACAAAACTGCTGAGGTGTATGGAGCTGCAGGAGGCAGCAGGGGGAGAGGGGGAGGGAGAGGCCGAGGCCGTGGGAGAGGCTTTGGCAGAGGAAGAGGCCGTGGTGACTACAACCAGGGGCATGAGAGCTCTGGTGGCAGGGGGAGCACCCGAATGGAGGGTGCGTGCTGGTACTGCAAGAAGGCTGGACACCCGTGGTTCAAGTATTTCAGCCGGCCTGAAGGATGGGCACCTCCAGGCATGAAGCCGCCAAGTGGTGAACGTGCACGACGTGGTGATGTGCAAGGTTCAGGTGCACAAGGTGATGGTGCACAAGGTAAAGCCGACCCTGGGATGTTCCTCATGGTTGAGGATGTGCAAGGGAGTGGGGGTGATGTGGGTTCAGTTGGGAAGGTTGTGATGCACCCCCTCACTCATTGGGTGATCGATTCAGGTTGCACGAGTCACATGATTCCACGGGCAGATTTGCTTGATGAGGTGAAGCCCCCTGGGAAGATAAAGTTTGTGGCTGTCGCTTCAGGTGCCTTGCTCCCTGTAATTGTTGTTGCAAATGCCAAGGTTATGGGAGCTAATGGGGGGCTTGTGGGGCTGGGAAATGTGCCTTGCTCCCCCCTTCACCTCCAGCCCCTTCAAGCACCCATCCTTTACCAACTTCTGCAGCATAGGAATGTTCACATGGCACAGCCTCTCATGCCACGTCTCCCAATCAGCCTCACCACTCCCAGATGAAGCCTTTGCCCATGCACCTGTCGCATCAACATCAGCAAGCACCTCACCATGTGGCTGCTGTGGCTGCTGCACCTTCTTGACTACATCCAGGGCCCCAGTAGTTGGTGTAGTCTCCTCTCCTCCCGCAGTTGCTTTAGCCGTTGCCGCTGCCTTTGCCGTTGCTGGTGGTTTCCCCTTCCAAGGGATGATGGGTAGCTACCACAGGTCCTTGATGCAGCTGCTCTTCTCCTCCAAGTTGCACAGTAGCAACTTTCCAAGCTTTGCACGGCAGCTGGTTGGGCCGAAGGTAACTTCAGCCTTGCTCTTCTGCAGCCGGCGCACAGAGAAAAGGTTAGCGGACAAACCTTCAACCAACAGCACATTCCCAAGCCCCACAAGCTCTCCATTGGCTCCCATCACCTTAGCATTCCCAACACCAATCACAGGGAGCAAAGCACCTGAAGCGGCAGCCACAAACTTGATCTTCCCAGGAGGTTTTACCTCATCAAGCAAATCTGCCTATGGGGTCATATGACTCGTGCAACCTAAATCGATCACCCAGTGAGTGAGGGGGTGCATCACAACCTTCCCAACTGAACCCACATCACCCCCACTCCCTTGCACATCCTCAACCATGAGGAACATCCCAGGGTCGGCTTTACCTTATGCACCATCACCTTGTGCACTCGATCCTTGCACAGCGCCACCGCGTGCACGTTCACCACTTGGCGGCTTCATGCTTGGAGGGGCCCATCCCTAAGGCCGGCTGAAACACTTGAACCACGGGTGTCCAGCCTTCTTGCAGTACCAGCACGCACCCTCCATTCAGGTGCCCCCCCTGCCATCAAAGCTCCCATGCCCCTCATTGTAGTCACCTCGGCCTCTCCCTCTGCCAAAGCCTCTCCCACGGCCTCGGCCTCTCCCTCCCCCTCTTCCTCTGCTGCCTCCTGCAGCTCCATACCCCTCAGCAGTTTTGTTGGCAGCACCACCTCCCGTGTGGCGCCTGCGGAAGTCCTCTTGCAGAATCTGCTGCCGTAGCCACTCAGGCATCCACTTGTCCTGCTGAACGTTGAGGGTGGGGATGAGGTTGTCCCACGAGTTGTCGAGCACCGAGATGATCTTGGTGCACTGTTGCATCTGCGACACTTCGCTGCCCGCCGCTGCCATCCTCGCATAGGTGTCCTTGATCTTGTCAAGGACCGTTTTCACATCATCTCCTGGTTTCATGGAGAGGGTAGCCAACTCCTTCTCAAACACAATCACCATCGGCAGCGTGTTGGGCTGAATCACGTCGCGTAGCAGCTTCCATGCATTCGGTCCGGAATCATCCAACTCCACCAAATCCTTGATGTGCTGGAACATGTCGTTGTTGACCGATTGGAGGATGAGGTCATACAACACCGCGCTCTTCTCAATCCACCGATCACGGGCATCTCCTTCCCCCGGCATCTTCTCCTCTCCCATTGCAATTTTCAGCAGCTTGTAGCGCTTGAAGGCGCTCCGCATCCGCCCGCTCCATTCCTCATAGTTGGAGCCATCCAAAGCTTCAATCTTGGAATGTGGCGGCTTACTCCTCTTCTCAGATGCATCTCCACTCCCTTGATTCATCTCCTCTGCTCCCAATCAGAGGTTTCAGCTCCCCCTTTTGCTGGTCACAATGTAGATCCACACAATCTTCACAAGTGTCAGCGCCAACGAAATTTCGGCAGAGTTTCCCCTTAGCGGAAGTCACGTGCAACATCTAGAACTCCACTTAGGCACGCCCACAGGCCATGGTGGGTCTAGGAGGGTCTTCACACTTCAGTAGACTCTCCACAAGGTCCTTAATCAGCTCTGATACCACTTGTTAGAGAGTAAGGACGGAGTCTACGAAGATTAGGTGCCTAAATTTCTCAAAATCGTTGGCCCCTATTTCTGGACAGAATAGTTGCGCTCACAAGAAACGCCGTCGACAAAAATTGACCTGACAAAACTTCACCAAACTCAGATATTTTGTTGCCCTACTTTGTGGCTACAATTCCCAAGTTGAAACGTGTCAAGAGGTGAAGTAAATCTCGACTTATCAATTTCTGTGCATAGGGGGGTATGCTGCCATAAGAACTTAACTCAATCACAAAGTTCCACAATTACGACACAAAGAAGTTAGAGTAGCACTAAACCAGGTGGAAGGGATGAGGAGGATGAGAGGGAAGGTCTCAAGAGAGTCCCCAACCAAGGAAACCCGATGCCACACAATTCCCTTCCCCATAGGCAACCCAACTTTAACCTTTGTCACTATCCCAACCTCCACAATCCACCTCAACCCAACTTGGCCACACTTGCCAACTTGGTTTTGGTTTCTCCCAACCATTTGGCAGCAACTACAGTAGAAAAGACGAATTTCTCAACCCCAAAAAGTCTGTACCCCATATTGAGTCAACCCCACAACTTCCCTCAGTTGCCACAATCAAATATGAAAAGGATACGAACTCCAACGCTCGTAACTTTCTTGATTGTGCTCCATTTGAAGCGATACTTGGTTCATCGGAAAGCTCTTGAGCAGAGGAGTCACTTCATATATCTGCTCAAACCAAATAGCATTCACACACACACACACACTCAGAAAAACGAAACCGCACAAAACACAAATTCTTGCACACGCTCACACCACGCATGCAACGCACGAACATATAATGAGAGGCAGACAGACGTGAATGCATATGATTGCATCACTCAACACGCCGCCACCGCCTCCACCTCCGCTCCAACCGCCACTGCAGCCGCCGCCCCCGCCTCCACCGCCGCCACTGAAGCCCCCACCACCGCCACCTCCACCGCCTCCGCCACCCCCTCCAGCGCCCTTGCCCCCCTTGCCCTTGCCGGTGCGGCATCTCTCGCCAGGGGCAGACGCAGGGCCGACCGACTCGGTGCTAACGAAGTCGACGGCAGCACCAGAGGCAGCAGAGGGCAAAAGCGGGGAGGGGGAGCACCCCTCAAAGAAGAGGGTACGAGGGTCACCACGAGAGGCTCCTACAGCGACTATACCCTTCTCAGCTGCCAGGAGGCGCTCCTCGAGGAGGTCAACGGTGAGTGTGGTGGGGCAAACAGGGAGGAAGTGGTCCCTGACCGAGCGAAGGGAGTCAGGGAGCCGGGTGACTATGTAGTAGAGGGTGATGTACATGGGGGGGGGGGGGGGGGGGGTCTTGGCGCAGAACTAAGTAGGAAGCGCTGCGCGTCAGCGGGTGTCACTAGTGCGAAGGTGCGTAATGAGGTCAGCGATAGTGGGAAAGGCGGCAAGGTCAGGGAACAGGTACAGCAGCATGAGGCGGCTAAGGGCAGCAGTGGCAGGGGAAGAGTAGCGTGCAACTACAGCGTCGAACAAGGTCTTAGCACTCTTGTACTGACTAAAGTGCGCGCGCTCAGTGGACGGCAAATGACTACGCACAGCAAGACGGGCAGCAGCATTGCGTGTGGCCCACTGGAAGTGAACAGTGCTGTTAGCATCGGTAGTAGGGGCAGGAGAGGCGCCAGACGTGAGATCGAACAGTGAGAGACCGTCTTTCCTATCGCACTGCAAGAAAAGCTGCAGATCATCCACCCAGACATCAAAGTCGACAGCCAGACCCTCACCATCAAAGGTGAGAACGCTAGGGGTAGCCATGACAGCAGCAGTAGCAGGCTAGTAGCAGTAGCACCAGGCGCGGCTCGGCGGTGCTCTTACCAGGGCCGGTGGGTAGGGGCCTTCAAGTGGTGGGGCAGGGCCGAGGCTCGTCGGCAGGGACAGGGCCGCGACCGCGGCGGCGGCTCCTGCTGTCAGCGGCGGCGGCGGCGGTGGCGGCTGCGGCTGTCGGCGGCGACGGCTGCTGCTGTCGGCTGCTGCTGTCGGCGGCGGCGGGTGCTGCTATTCGCGGAGGAGCTGAGAAGGGGCCGGTAAGGGCGGCGAAGGGGCCACGAAGGACCGTGAAGGGGCCGCGAAGGGCGGCGGCGGGGCCGAGACGGGACCGCGAGGGGCCGCGAAGGGTGGCAACGGTGCCGAGAAGGGCGGCGACGGGGCCGTGAAGGGCGGCGACGAGGCCGAGCCGGGCGGCAACTGGGCCGCGAAGGGCGGCGACCGGGCCAAGAAGTGGCCGCGAGGGGCCTTGAAGGGCAGCGACGGGGCTGAGAAGGGCGGCGATGGGGCCTCGAAGGGCGGCGACGGGGCCGCGAAGGGCGGCGACTGGGCCGCGAAGGGCGGCAACAGGGCCACGAAGGGGCCGCGAGGGGCACGAAGGGGCCGCGAGGGGCCTGAAGGGGCCGCGAAGGGTCGTGAGGGGGGCCGTGAGGGGCCTTAAGGGAGCGCGACGAGTTGCTAAGGGCAGGGGACGCGACGGGAGGGCAAGCACACGGGGCGCGATCCGGGCAGGGCGAAGCGCGCTCCGGGCAGGGATTTTTTTTTTTTTTTTTTTTTTTCGGTGGGCCCTACGAAACGTTTCCACTAGGGAACCTGCTCTATACCATGTGAGAGAACGAGGAATGGATACACTAGGAAGAAGGTGGGTACAAGCGAGAAAACCTATAAGTGTTGTACCCTATATTGTCTACCCCACTACAGCCTACACAGAGTATAGCATATAAGTTTGACAATCACAAAACATTCGAAGTTATCACGAGCAGTCAAAAGTTCCGCCAAATCTATCACGAACCGTCACATGTTCCGCCAAATCTATCACGAACGGTCACATGTTCCGCCAAATCTATCATGAACCATCACACACGTATCACCCGCCATCACAGGTATACCCGTGTGATGGTTCGTGATAGATTTGGCTGAACATGTGACCGTTCGTGATAGATTTGGCAGAACAACCGACTTCTCGTGATAACTCTGAAATGTTTTGTGACGACCTGTATAAAAATCCTGATTTGAAAATGTCGAAGAGAAAGGCCCCGCCCTCGCTTGGGCGCAGCCGATCTCGCCGTCGACGGGAAGTTCTCGGCGGATTGGTAGAAGAAGTAGGCTTTTGCAGTGTGACGGAAGTTGCGGTCGAGCAGGCTCTGCTTGACGGAATCTGGTCAACGAGCCCTGCGCGATGAGCTCTAGTCGACGATCTCTGCGCGACGAACTTCCGTCGAGGAACTCTGGTCGATGAGTTCGGGTCGAAGAACTCTGGTCGAAGAGTTCTAATCGAGGAGCTCTGCTCGGCGAACTCTGTTCGGCCGAGCGATGGCGAGTCCTTCGACCGAAATTGCAGAGTTGTGCGAAACTCTGCGGAGGCGAGCGATCTTTCGCCCTGGAGATTTTGGCGAAGTTCTACCTGCGGAACGGCGGAACGTGCTGTGCGCACCTCGCGAAACCGACTACACGTTTTCTACCTAGCATCTGCGCAATGTGCCTGACGGGGAAACCGCCAACCTGCACCTACTTGGTAGGTGCGCACATCTATGCAGATAGACAACCTGCGACTGTAGAAAGTTACCTGCGACTACTGATAGTCACCTGCGACTGCAGTGCTGGCAGACCGCGCTAAGTGCAACGTTGGCAGATCACTCTGCTACAACGTTGGCAAGCCGCTCTTCTGCTGAGCTGGCAGATTTTGCCCTTGCTAGGTGTTCCATGCCATTCTAGTTCTTTCATTCTGCATGCCTCAATTGTACTTCCAACTTTTCATTGCAAGTTGTTTTTTTCAATTCCTTAGTGGAAACTCTTGCAAAACTTCTCTGTGAACACAGCAAGCAGTAAGAACATTAGTACAACGCTATGATCACCCACATAACTCCGTGCCCTCCACCGTAGTCCACTCCCGTTGTGTAGTGACTCTCCGCATGGTGCGTTGAGCGTGGACGGCCCCTGGTTAGAACCTTCAGATAGCCGACTTCTGTGTTCATTACCTAAGTTGTTGTTAGGCCGGCAGCCCTCTTAGTCGCCATGGTCGACCCCGTGGTTGAAGCAGGTGTAGAAGATACCCTGCAGGCGAGAGAGGCTGGTGTTCGGGCACTGACACGAGGCTGGCGGGTACGGCGAGGCGGACTTGGAGATTCTGCTCCTTGGAACTAGTGCGCAGTGGGCGCGTGAGCATCCCCCTCCCCGTGCAGAAGCGGACGGCGCGTCCGCCTCTCCCCGACCTGTGCACAACGAAGGTGACGGCGGAAATGTTGTCGGCGGTGGAAGCACGAGGACTCGCGTAGCGGTTTGGCCCGCCGACATCGGCGTTGGCGGAGTGCAAGCGCAAGTGCTGCGATCTTCTGCGGCTGGAGGCAGCTCGAACGGCAACATTGACGGTCAGCGTCAATCTCCTTTGCATAGTGGAGTCAGGCTGACTTCGGCGACTCATGCGTCGGCTGGTCGAGACGGAGGCATCGCGCCGGCGTACAAATATTCCAATTTTTCGCCAAACAAGATCGCTGTGCCGAAGTTGCTGGAAGGTCGCCACGACTTGATCACGTGGATTGAATCCATCGAGCCTCAGGTGGAGATCCTCGGATTGAAGTAGTTCGTTGACGGCAATGTTGAGACACCGGACGCAGATGACTCTGAACTCTGGGCGGAATTTCGCCTCATCTATTAACCTTCATGGTCATTTCGAGGTGTTGCTCACCTCTGGTGCAGGTCGCATTGACGTCGTGCAGACAACGGGTAGATGCTGGTTACCAAGCGTGGCAGTACATCATGCGCACCTACAAAGCGACCGACGACCTCTACATCAGTCAACTGGAGAAGAAGTTCACCAACATTTAGGTGGGGGAGCACGAATCGGCGACTGAATACTGCAATCGAGCGCGTCGAGTTCTGGCCGATGTGCGGATGGCCGGCGTCGGCTACTCGGTGGCTTCGTATGTCACCCATGTCATCAGCGGCCTCCCTTTGGGCTACAATATGATGAGCCGGATGCTGACAATTCCCGGCACGCGCGAGACTTTGAATGAGGACTCGCTTTCGAGCCACATCATCCAGGATGAGTTCATGCAGGAGTCTGAGCGACCTGCAGAATTGCTTCCGCAGGCAAACTACGTCGCTCCGGCGAAACAAGGACACCAACAGGGGCAGCGTGGGAATTCCGGCGGAGGCGGTGGCGGGAAGTCGTCGAACGCGAAATCTACGGAGGGCGCCGATGCGCGAAGTCGGCGAAAGGTGGAGATCGCGACAACAGTGGCTCGCGTGGAGAAGGACGTCGTTGCTACATCTGCGATGCTCCTGACCACCTCTCGTACGACTGCCCCGACCGAGACGAGTCTGACGACGACCGGGACGCCAACCGCAGAAAGGGAGATGGTGGTGGTCGTCGTCGGGACAACCGGCCGCGTAAGGAGAAGCAGCCGTCGAAGACGTCTTCAACGAAGGATGCTGAGTCCTCTCGCGGCAATGCTCGGGGCGAGGAGGCTTCGAGCTCGATGGTTGGCGTGGTAGAGCCGACGATCTCGCTGGCGCTGGAGGCTAGCAAAGACTTCAAGGCGGTCGCTGCTGCTGTGCAAGCGAATCCGACTGTTGTGCTGCTCGACAGCGGCTGCTCCCACCATTTGATGGGGACGAAGGAGGCCTTTGTCAACATGCAGCCGAGCGGAGACGTGTGCCACGTCCGCGGCTTCAACCGGGCACTTCAGAGCGTCAAAGGCAGAGGCACCGTTGTTCTGCAAGGGGGGGCTGGGAGGCAGGTCCTCGTCCCCGACGTATTCTACGTTCCGAGTGTGCACGCGAACCTGCTCTCTGCTGGCCAGCTCAAGGAGAACGGCGTGAAGCTGCAGGACGAGGGCGGAGAGATGCTGCTGGTGTCTTCTGCCAGTGATGTTCTTGGTCGAGCACGCTACTCCACCAGAGTCCTCTGCACCGACCTGCGCCCATGCTTGACGAAGTCTACGACGACTTCGACGGAGGTTGTGGCTCTGCGGACGATCGCATCTGCGACAAAGTTGACCCCGGGCATGTTGCACGCGCGGCTTGCGCACGTCGGCGTCGACACGATCAAGAGCTCGGCGAAGAAAGAGGTCGCTGCTGGTCTGGACATCAAGAAGTTGACCGCAGAAGATGTGTCGTGTACCTCCTGCGTCGGCGGCAAGCTTGCACGCCACACCTTCCCTGACCAAGGATCGGACGCCGAGAACGCGCTCGATGTGGTGCACATCGACCTCTGTGGACCGTTCCGGGTGGCCGCCAACGATGGCAGCCTCTAGTTTCTTTTGCTGAAAGATAGGAAGACTCGCTACGTGTGGGTGAGGCCGATTGCGAAGAAAAGCGACGTGCTGGTCGTCTTCGAGAAGTGGCTGAAGGAGGTGGAGCGGCAGACGTCGAAGACGGTGAAGAAGCTGCGTTCTGATCGCGGAGGGGAGTGGCTCGATCACGCCTTCACCGACCTTGTCGAGGACAAGGGCATCCTCCACAATCTGACGTGCCCCTACACTCCGCAGCAGAACGGGATGGCCGAGCGGGAGATGCGCACGGTGGTCAAGGCCGTGCGTACGATGCTTCTATACATGGGCGTGAAGCATCACTGGTGGAACCTCGCTCTGCGCCAGGCCGTCTGGGTGCGCAACTGCCTCGAACGCGCTTCTCTGCCGAAGGGGACAACGTATCCCTCTATCGTCTCCTCTTGCGTCCTCTCTTGCTGAAGGACCCGAACCTGACTCTGACCTAGTTCGTGTTACCAGTCCTACTGATACGCGTCTATTAGCCACTGTTTTCACTCACCC